TTGTTTGCGCATGCTTCGGATTCGGAGGCAGAGTGTGTTTTGTATTGTTTTTTGGTAGGGATGGTTGGGGGCTGGGGGGCATAGGGTCGGCATTGTTCCTGGTTGGCTGTCGGTCGCCTGGGGGAGGGGATGTATATTCGTAAGGGCTTCGCCCCCTGCCGCCAGCCCCCTACCTCAAATAATGGTACATGCAAGAGCTGTGTGGGGAGGCCTGGGCGCCGTCGTGAAGCAGTGTCACCCCGAGCGATGGCCAATATGGTACGTTACGGCTTGCACTACAAACCTGAAACTGATCGTTCCGTGTGCGGACCTTGCAATCTAAATATCCGACAGTGCATGGTGCTACGTGCAACTGATCTGATTTCGGCCTTATGGCAGCGCGTGAGGTCTCTTAGACTTCTAGGGCCCAGGATTGGTGCGGATCTTTCGTTTTGCGCTCCGTGCGCGTGGCGTCGCGGCTTCAAGTTTTGGGAGGGTATCGCGACGCAGATTTTTGTTTCAACTCTGGAAAGGGAGGGGCGCTTTTGGGCAGCTTCGCGAGGTGGATTCGTGGCTACGGGGGCGCGAACGTGGCGTGATTTACAAGGGTTTGTGGCCTCGGGGACGCAATGTTTACAGACTTTGCATGGATGTGTGGTTTCGGGGACGCACGTATTGTTTAATTTACAAGGGTTTGTGGCCTCGGGGACGCGACTATTGAGTAATTTACGATGGTTTTCAGCCTCGGGGACGCGAGTCTGGTGTAATTCATAAACGGTTGTTGTGGCCTCGGGGACGCACCTGTTGCGTAATGTACGAAGTTTCTGTTGCCTCGGGAACGATAAACTCGTATAGCCTAAACGCGGTTACCCTGGCGACGTACCCAACCCCTGCGCAATGCGGGGCATGAGTAGCTTGGGAGACGTTATATGGAGGTGATGACGTGACATGGGCGCATATACTTCTGCAAGCGGCATCCGTGGGCCTCGCAACCCCCAGGGATTGCGATGTCCCGCTAAGATCTGCCTGGTGCCTCGCTCCGCTGGACCCACCAGCAGCCCTCGAACGTGGCGACGGTTTCGCAGATCGCTACCCGCCAGGGACGGCGAGGTCCCGCTCATATCCGCGCGGTGCCTCACTCCGTAGGACCCACCAGCAGCCCTCGAAAGTGGCGACAGTTTCGCAGATCGCAGCCCTCCAGGGACGGCGAGGTCCCGCTCAGGTCCGCGCGGTGCCTCACCCCGCAGGAACCACCAGCAGCCCTCGAAAGTGGCGACAGTTTCGCAGATCGCAGCCCCCCCCCTCCCAAGGACGGCGAGGTCCCGCTCAGGTCCGCGCGATACCTCACTCCGCAGGACCCACCAGCAGCCATCGAAAGTGGCGACGTTTTCGCAGATCGCAGCCCCCCAGGGACGGCGAGGTCCCGCTCAGGTTCGCGCGGTGCCCCATTCCGCAGGAACCCCCAGCAGGCCTCGAAAGTGGCGACAGCTTCGCAGATCGCAGCCCCCCAGGGACGGCGAGGTCTCGCTGAGGTCCGCGCGGTGCCTCGTTCCGCAGGGCCCACCAGCAGCCCTCGAACATGGCGACCGTTTTGCAGATCGCAGCCCCCCAGGGACGGCGAGGTCCCGCTCAGGTCCGCGCGGCGCACCATTTTGCAGGACTCACCAGCAGCCTTCGAAAGTGGCGACAGTTTCGCAGATCGCAGCCCCCCAGGGGCGGCGAGGTCTCGTTGAGGTCCGCGCGGTGCTTCACTCCGCAGGACCCACCAGCAGCCCTCGAAAGTGGCGACGGTTTCGCAGATCGCAGCCCCCCAGGGACGGCGAGGTCTCGCTCAGGTCCGCGCGGTGCTTCGCTCCGCAGGGTCCACCAGCAGCCATCGAAAGTGGCGACCGGTTTCGCAGATCGCAGCCCCCTCGGGACGGCGAGGTCCCGCTCAGGTCCGCGCGGTGCCTCACCCCGCAGGACCTCCCAGCAGGCCTCGAAAGCGGCGACAGTTTCGCAGATCGCAGCCCCAGGGACGGCGAGGTCTCGCTGAGGTCCGCGCGGTGCCTCATTCTGCAGGAACCACCAGCAGCCTTCGAAAGTGGCGACCGTTTCGCAGATCGCAGCCCCCCAGGGACGGCGAGGTCCCGCTCAGGTCCGCGCGGTGCTTCACCCCGCAGGACCCCCAGCAGGCATCGAAAATGGTGACATATTCACAGATCGCAGCCCCCCCCAGGGATGGCGAGGTCTAATTTGAATCCGCCCGTGGCGTCACTGTGCTGGGCCCCCCAGCAGGCCTCGAAAGTGGCGACAGTTTCACAGATCGCAGCCCCCCAGGGATGGCGAGGTCTAATTTGAATCCGCGTGGCGTCACTGTGCTGGGCCCCCCAGCAGGCCTCGAAAGTGGCGACAGTTTCACAGATCGCAGCCCCCCAGGGATGGCGAGGTCTAATTTGAATCCGCCGCGTGGCGTCACTGTGCTGGGCCCCCCAGCAGGCCTCGAAAGTGGCGACAGTTTCACAGATCGCAGCCCCCCAGGGATGGCGAGGTCTAATTTGAATCCGCGCGTCACTGTGCTGGGCCCCCCAGCAGGCCTCGAAAGTGGCGACAGTTTCACAGATCGCAGCCCCCCAGGGATGGCGAGGTCTAATTTGAATCCGCGCGTCACTGTGCTGGGCCCCCAGCAGGCCTCGAAAGTGGCGACAGTTTTTCACATCGCAGCCCCCCAGGGATGGCGAGGTCTAATTTGAATCCGCGCGTGGCCTCACTGTGCTGGGCCCCCCAGCAGGCCTCGAAAATGGCGACAGTTTCACAGATCGCAGCCCCCCAGGGATGGCGAGGTCTAATTTGAATCTGCGCGTCGCCCTCACTGTGCTGGGCCCCCCAGCAGGCCTCGAAAATGGCGACAGTTTCACAGATCGCAGCCCCCCAGGGATGGCGAGGTCTAATTTGAATCTGCGCGTGGCCCTCACTGTGCTGGGCCCCCCAGCAGGCCTCGAAAATGGCGACAGTTTCACAGATCGCAGCCCCCCAGGGATGGCGAGGTCTAATTTGAATCCGCGCGTGGCCCTCACTGTGCTGGGCCCCCAGCAGGCCTCGAAAGTGGCGACAGTTTCACAGATCGCAGCCCCCCAGGGATGGCGAGGTCTATTTGAAGCCTCACTGTGCTGGGCCCCCAGCAGGCCTTCGAAAATGGCGACAGTTTCACAGATCGCAGCCCCCCGGATGGCGAGGTCTAATTTGAATCTGCGCGTCGCCCTCACTGTGCTGGGCCCCCCAGCAGGCCTTGAAAATGGCGACAGTTTCACAGATCGCAGCCCCCCAGGGATGGCGAGGTCTAATTTGAATCTGCGCGTCGCCCTCACTGTGCTGGGCCCCCCAGCAGGCCTCGAAAATGGCGACAGTTTCACAAATCGCAGCCCCCAGGTATGGCGAGGTCTAATTTGAATCTGCGCGTCGCCCTCACTGTGCTGAGCCCCCCAGCAGGCCTCGAAAATGGCGACAGTTTCACAGATCGCAGCCCCCCGCAGGCAAGACAGGAAGAGGCAGGGAGGGAGGGAGGAGGAGGAAGGAGTGGAGACCACACTGCTCTATTCAAAACGAATACCCAACCAAGGAGGGTTGGGAATTAATGGCTTCGGGGACGCGAGCATCGCGGACGCGAATGTTGCATCATTTGTGTGGGTTTATGGCCTCGGGGGCGCGAATTTCATGTATTTCTACGTGTCCCACAGCCCCGCAGGAGCTCAGAGCACGCGATCCAGGCATGGTAACCGGGTCTTTTTCGCCCCCTCCCCCTCGCGCGGACTTAAACAATTTTCGATAGGAGGCAGAAAGTAGCTGGTGGGATTAACCATACTTCGGGCCTTGGCAACGGCCGTTCGGGACGACTCTGTTATCCCCAGAATGTTCTCGGCGAGGTAGGCCTATGATAAAGGTAAATCGCTCCATATTGTTCTGGAAAGACGCTTTCCGAGCACTTCGTAGCGCTCTGAACCGGCCGCGGCGCCCGATGCATCCTCCAGACCCGCCAGTCATCGCCATCGGACCTTAGCTCCTCATCCTGCCTTCGTCGTAGCTGCAGGAAGGCATGCCGAGGCGAGAAAGCAGCAACAACAACTAAGCAACGCACGCAGAAGCACGTGGCGGCGCCCATGAGGTGGGGGGGCGCGAGGGGGGCGGCCTTCCGAGAACGCGGATGGGCTTCTCAGACGGCGGGGGCATGCTGAGAAGGCTCTGGATGCTTCTAAGCAGGCTTCGCCAGTCTTTGCGAGATGGTGACCCTGACGCTTTCCCCTTGCCCTTCTTTCAGCAGTCCCTTCTCGCAGGCCCAGAGGTTGACGCCAACACTAATTTCGGCGGTGTGCCTCCACCGAGGGAAGGAAGATCCCGATCTCGGTGATGGTGGTAATAGTCTGCCTTCCAAGGTGGCCGAAATATTACCACCAGCACTGAAATCTAGGATCATCTTCCCCCTGTGGAGGCAACCCCCTGTGTTGGTGTTGGTGCCCATTTCCAGGCCTCCAACCTTCGATCATGGATTGGTGGGATGAAGAGAGAGCCACCGCAGAAGCAGGCTTCTCAGAAGACGGGCGGGCTTCTGAGAACCTCCCCTGCCTTTCTCGGAAGCCCACCCCCCTATCGGACGCCGCCGCTGCAGGAGGCCGCTCGACCGTCCAGCCGGCTACGCCTGGAGGGCATTTCTTTTCTGGAGGGGAAAAACAGGCAGACACAATTCATCCCCGACCCCCAGGAACAGATGGAAGAATATGGGAAGTGGGGGGGGGAAGACGAAAACCCAGAAGATTGAAAGCTTACCTGTCTGGCATCCCCCCCCCCCTCCGCCGCCTTTTCAAGCAGCGCTGGGCCGAAAAGGCGTGCAAGTGGGTCCCGACTTGCGTGAACTACATATTGCCTTTCGGGCCTCGCCACGCCCCCCGCCCCCCCACCCCACCCCCCTCCCTGCACGTAGACTTGCCGCAGCCTAGCAGCAAATGGCTTCCCGCCTCTTCCGACCCGGCGCGCGCCCCGAGCGGCAGGCAACAGCTGCTCCGCCGACCACGCCCCGGCGGCGCCCCCGAGGGGGCAACAGCGGGAGGCGCGCGCGCGCAGTGTCCCCCCCGCCGCGAGCTCTCGCCTCGCGGACGCGCACGCGCTTTGCGAGCTGAGGTCCGGTCCCAGACCCCCCCCCCCGCGTTGTGAAAAAATGTCGGCGGGGGAGTCCGAGCCATGCCCTTGCCGATCAACGATTCAGGCAACTCGATGGGCGGCGGGGGCAGGGTTCGGAATGCCTCGAACATGTGGCGAAATTCGAATCCTACCCCCGTCGCCCATCGATTCAAGAGAATCGATGGTTGGTGGGATGTCGCTAGCTAGAATGGCGCCGGAAGGTTTTTGGTAGCTTTCTGCCTCTGTGGGCACTCGTCGGGCCCCAGGTGGCGACCGACGGTTTGTGGTCATCGCTGGCCTCTGGGGGCCCTTGCCGGGCCCCAGGGCCGTCAGAAAAGGACTCAGGACGAAGAGCCGGTCCCGGGGGAGGTGTCGAGACCTCCGGGTCTGACGTTGTGCAACGAATGATGACGTCGGGGGTCTGGGTCTGCGAGCCGCGGTCCGCTCTTCCCCCCCGGGGAGCGCATGCCCTCCGACCCAGACCCCCGACGTCGTGATTTTTTCACGACGTCGACCCCCAGAGGTCTGGACCCCTTCCCCAGGACCGGTTTTGCATCCTGACTCGTTTTTTGACGCTCCCGAGGCCCGGCAAGGGCCTCCAGAGGGCGAAAAGAGCGCAAAACCTCCCGTCGTGATTTTTTCACGACGCGAGAAGGTCTGGGGAGGGGGTTCTCCCTCGCGTTCTCGAGCGATCGTGCGGGCTCCTCGCGCCGCAGTGCCTGCACTCCAGGGGGGGCTCTCGCTCGTGTTCTTTTGAGCGCTCGTGCGGTCTCCTCGCGCCCTCCGCGCGGCGCCGTTCCGGGGGCCGCCGTCGTGGCCGCCCCGTGCACCGACTGGGGGCTTCCCGGGGCTCCCGCGCGGCGGCAGCCCCGCGGCTGCCCCGTGCGTGGTGGAGGGGCGCCTTCTTGAGGGTGTGCCATGTTATTCCAGATTTCGTAATAAAGGGAGGGGGGTCTCATTTCGGGGGGGGGTCTCTTCCAGGGTATCTTGGAGGGCCTGGGGGGGTCTGGGGGTTCTCGTTGTCGCGATCGTTCGGGAGCGAAACAAGGACGTACATGTACATGAATCCACGCTGGTTTCGAGAGCACGCATTGCACACATGTTCGTATAACGCGGCGGGTCTCGCGAATCGAGGGGCCGTGTTCATGTACATAGTTGGGCGCGTACGTCCTTTGTGGGCTCCCTAATCGTAGCCGGCCCCATCTCAAGATTTTGGCTCAAGTGATTGAGCCGAGTGTGATGCGCCCCGCCAGCCCCGCTTTCGCCGCGATCGCAGGTTTTGCTGGATCGCTGCTGGGCGGCTTCGCTGGCCGCCACACCGCGCCGGAGCCAGCGCCGTGCGTGGTCGCGCACGAGCTGGACCACTGCCCGCAGCCGACCTGACTGGCTGCGGTCTGCCCTCCGGCCGCGTGCCCGGAGGTACCTCCTTGCCCGGAGGTCATCGTGCCGGCGTGCCCGGCCTGCCCCGCGGCGGCTGGCGCCGGGCTGAGGCTGTGGGATCTGAGCCTGATACCCCTTGCGGGCGTGGCGCTGCTCGGGTGGGCGGCCCGCGCTTGCTCCTGGTGGGGCAACGGCCGTTTCGCGGCAACGGCGGAGGGCGGCGCGAGCCTTGGGTTCCCAGCCGGCAGCCACGCCGCGCTGGGCCCCGCGGCTGGACCGAGCAGCCCGCCTCCTGTGCGTGGGCTTCTGGCTCTTGGGAGCGGCGGGCCGGCCAGCCCTTCCAGCCCTTCAGGCAGTCAGACACCCGACGAAAGAGAGGTCTGGAAGCCGCGTATCGGTCGTAAGTGATGACGGCGCGGGCGAGAGAGCTTGCCCTCGACGTGGGGAGCCCGCAGGTGGCGATCGATTTCCCAGACGACCCCCACTATCGGTGGCGCCATCGGCTAATTCCCAACCGAGTGGGCCATGGGACGAAGTGGGTCGTCACGACCCCCGACTACAACGTGGAGGTGTTGGACTTGGCGAGCCACAGGGTGGTGCCGCTGCCGCGGGGGTGTGAGGTGCCGCAGCGCGTCCGCGGGAACATCAACCTTTTGGGGATCTCTCGGAGCGGAGGACCAGCTGCTCTCGCTCCAGCAGCAGGGGGGGTCGCTGGCGGTCTTGATTGGTGGGGTCGCGACGGCGCCGGGCCGGGGGGGGGCTGGGGGACCGCCGTCTCGGTGGTCTCGGACACGGGCGTAGACCAGTTCGGAGAGCAGGTCGGGGCGGCGGTGACCAGCAACCCGGCGCGGTTCGTGCAGCGCATGTCGACAGGCTTGGGCCTTGACGATCGCTGGGCCGCACTGGAGCGCGTGGCCCTGGCCGACTTGGACGAGTGGAAGGAAGAGAAGAGGTCTGGCGCGGGCAGTGGCCCGCGCGCGTTGCCCATCGTCCGCGACCGTCAGGAGCACAGGTACATCGAGTTCCGCGACGCCATGGCAGCCTTTTCAGAAGCGCGCCCCTGGGGGCGGCTCGGCGGCGGGCGCGAGCAGCAGCGCCGAGCGCGACTGGCCCTTCCGAGGGCCAAGCGCGGCGGTCGAGCTCATGGCGATGATTCGCTCGACGGGCGAGACCGTGGGAACGTGCCGCGACTGCTGGGCTCGCACTTTGGGAGCGGGGCCGGGCGCGGCCGTGGCCCGCCACCACGCGTCGCTCCTCAGCATCTTCCACCGCGCCCCGTGCTCCGACCAGCTGGAGATCTACCGCCTGGCGGGCGTGGAGATGCTAGCGCGGAGAGTGACGCGCGTCGAGCGGGCCGCGAAGTGGTCGCCGAAGAGCCCCACATTCCGCGGGCTCGAGATGACGATGGCGTTGGCGCTCGATGCGGGCACGGCGGCGACGACAGGCGACTTCGCAAAGTTATCGCGGAGGGGCAGAAGACTGAGGCGTTCGCGCTGAAGCGACAGCGGCTGCTCGCGGAGGAGACGGACAGGCGCGGGAAGGATGGCCCAAGTCGTGATTCGTGGCGAGGCCCACGACCGTGACCGCCGCTCCCTGGCCAGCGTCCAGCTCCCCGATGCTGTCGTCGAAGAGGCGCGGCGACCGGCAGAGGCGCTCGCGCCAGCGGGGGCGAACTGGCTGCGGCCCCTCAGGCTCAGCAGGTAGGACGGTCCGACGAGGGTCGCCGAGAAACCCGCGGGCGGTCTCGCCGACCTGCTCAGCAGCGCCCAGCGGGGGAATGCCCCCCTTCGCGCCCGCCGAGACCGCCAAGCGGCACGGCGCCACCGCGAGCGGCGCGTCGGTCTCGCACAGGTCCTCGGCCCTAAGGGTCGCAGATAGGGCCCCATCAGGACGCAGATCAAGTTGGCGAGGCCCGTGGGCTTCATCGCCTACCGACGGCGAATGGCATCTCGCGTCAGGATCTTCTGCGTTCGAGAAGACGGGGACGCGGCGCGTGGTGCTGGATCTGCGCCCGGCCAACGCGTGTCCTTGGAAGGCGCCCTGCGCGCGGCTCGCGACCGCGGCCGCCATGTCCAGCCTCGTTCTGGACCCCCACTTCGTCGAGACGGAGCCTGGCCGTGAGCCCGAGTCCTGGGGGGGGTCGATCGACCTCCAGGACGGCTTCTATTAGTTCCTGGCGCCGACCGTCTCGCACTTCTTCGGGATCGGCGTCTGGGGGCGAGCTGGGGGCGACGGCGTCGCCGAGGTGTGCGATCCAGAGGTCCGCAGCTAATTGCGCGGCGATCGACGCGTCCGACGACGTGGAGGTCTGCTTCGGGGGCCCGCCGACTGGATAGAGCTGGGCGCCGTGCTTCTGCCGCGGCGCCGTGTCGGGGGCGCGCCGCCGAGCCCAGGAGCGCCTGGGACATGGGGCGGTCATCGCTGGCGATCGCCGGCCCCCGCCACCTCTGCGACCAGGAGTGGCCGTCTCCGCCCCGTGCGTCGACGACGCGAACATCCTGGGCTGCGACAGTGGCGCCGTCGAGCGCCTGCGCGCCGAGGTCGTTGACGAGCTGGCCCGCGTGGGCCTGCGGGCGCGCGAGCGCGTGGACGCGACGCAGAGCTTCGAGGCGGTCGGCCTGGTGTTCGACGGCCAGCGCCGCTGGGTCAGGCGCAGTCGCCGACGCGGCTGGCGGCTCTGGCACGCGCTGGGCGTGGCCCTCCCGATGGGCGCTGGCGCCCAATCGCGTTCGGTGTCTACTGGGCCACCTGGTTCATCGCTTCAGCCTGCGGCGCTGTGCTCTCGGTGTCCTGAGGGCCGTCTACCGCTTCGTGGGCGCTGGCGGCGCCGAGGTTCGGGCGCTGCCTCGCGAGGCGATGGGTGAGCTTCGCGTCGCCGGGGACCTCGTGCACTTCGCCCACCTGGACCTCGCCTCGCTGACGCTGGAGCGGGCGTGCTGCAGCGACTCCTCGACGGAGGGCTACGCGCTGCACGTCGCTATCGCCGACAAGCACCAGCTGTGGGGCGTCGCTGTTTGGAGGGGGCGGTGAAGGTTCGTGGGCAAAGGCCCGACCGTCGTCGCCTCGGGCGAGGAGCTGCGGGGCGGCCTGGTGGGCAGTGCCAGGCTGGCTGGCGACTTCTCGGGCTGGGTCGACGGCGAGCTCGAGCCCTCGCCCGACGAGCGCGCCACCCTCGGGCCGGCGACGGCCGCCAGCGCCCGAGCGAGCGGCCCCGAGTCGAGCGCGCGGGCCCGGTGCCGCGTGTGCCAGACGCCTTTGCCGACCCGCGGCGGCGGCAGCGTCGCGTGGTGGGGCGCTGGAAGCGAGCCGCCGCCTTAAGTGCAAGGAAGCGCGGGCGGCGCTGCAAGGCCTCGCGAGGGAGGCGGAGTGCGGTAACGCGCGCGGCAAGCACCTGGTCTCCTTCGGCGACAACCTGGCGGAGACGCTCGCCTTCGACCGCGGGCGCGCGCGGGGCCCCGAGCTGCTGGGGCTCGCTCGCCGCGCTGCTGCGTGTCAGCTGGCGGCGGGCATCATCTGGCATCGACGCTGCGTGGAGACGGGCAGGAACCCGTCGGACGCCGACTCCAGACTGGCGCATCACGGATAGCTACGACCTGGAGAGCGGCTCGCAGGGCCGCTGCAGGCGCTGCCGTTGGCCGCGGCCGTGGGCCCAGCCTGGGGGCCAGAGCCGCCCGCCCCGGCGCCTGCCGCTGGAGCGGCCGCGCCGCGGAGGGGCCGCCCTCGCCGCTGCTGCCGCCGCGTCCGATCTGACGACGGCGCCGACGGGCCACCGCCGCCCCTGCGGGGCCGCGAGCGCGAGCCGGTGCTGGCAGCCTCACCAGCGGTCGCCCGGCCTTCTTCGAGCTCTTCGCAGGCTGCCAGCGCGCGTCGGCGGCCGTGGCGGAGGCGGGGTTGCGAGTGGCAACGCCCGTCGATGTGGCTCGTGGCCCTCAGCATGACGTGCTGGACCGTCGCGTGGCAAGCGAGGTCCTCAGCAGGCTCTCAAAAGGACTGGCGAGGTGCGTCTTGCTGTGGGCTCCCTGCGCCGCCTGGGCGCCCGCGACCAAAATCGCGACGGGCGGTCGTGGGCCGTTTTCGGCTTTCGGGGGGGGGCCCTCGCCGGGCCTTGGGGGCCGTCGAAGAATGACTTGAGCCGAGGAGCTGGCCCGGAGGGGGGCGTCGGGGGATTTCCGGGGACCCCGCGCGGAGAACATCGAGACGTCGGATGTTTTGGGGCCAGGCGGTCGGGGTCGGCACAGGGGGTCGCCGCTGCGGCGAGGCGGCCCTCGCGGCTGACCACCCCGAGCCCGTGGAGGGCTAGCGCCAGCGAGTGGGGCGCAGCCGCGGGGGGGCGGCCCTGGGAGTCGGCCCTGGCTCTCATGGAGGGCCATGGCCAGCCGTGCCGGCGGAGGCGCGGCGGGCGCGGGGCGCTCCGCAGTGGGGTTTTGGGGGGGGGGCCGGCGCAGAGCAGGGCGGCCCCGCGGGGCCGCCGCGCACGGGGCCCTGGCGGCGGCCAGCAGAGGGCTAGATGCCGCGGGCACGAGCACATGTGGGACCTCGGCTGGCAGAGCCAGGGCATGGATTGACAGCGTGCGAGCCGAGGCAAGCTGCCCGAAAGGCGATGATCGCATCATCAGTGCTACCGCGTATGTTGAGGGGGATTATTACAGAGTCGCACCCTGTATCTTCCCAACCCCTTCCTCCCAACGCGATACTTATCCTTCTCAAGCTGGGATCGCCGCGCCCCCCGAGGCGATCTGAGCGATGAGCTGCTGCGCAACGCCCGTGGTCTGAGCAGTGTTCCAAGATGCCACTGAGCAGGAGAAGAAGAAGGAACCCTTGAGGGCACGGGCTTGCTTGTTGCTTTGTCGCAGCGGACTTCCTTGGTGGTCCGACCTCCGGGGGGTGGGGGGGCGGGCGCGGCGGCCGCTGGCGCCGCGGGGGTGCCGACGGCGGCAGGTGCCTCGGCGAGTGCTGGGGCCGCGGGGGCTGTCTGGGCAGCCGCTGGGGGGCTGGCGTGGAGGCGGGCTGGCCCCCTGGAGTGGCCGCCGCGCTAGCCTGCGCTCCTGGGGCAGTGAGCCGCCGTGGGAGCTCCTGCGCGCTGGCGTTGAGCATGTCATTGCTCTTCGTCAGCGTGTGCTACTGGGTCTGGAGCTCCCTGGTCTGGCCTTGCAGTGTATTCTGGGATTGGATTGGCTCGTGGTGCCCGTCCTGCAGCTTGGGGTTCGAGGGCTCAGAGCCGCTTGTCGACGGCGTCGGGTGCGCCCTGGGGCCGCTGACAAGCATGGCAGTGATCGACCCACTCGTCGTCTTCGAGGCCGTCCATGTCCCCGTTCTCTTTGCCGACTTCCTCGAACTTCCGAGGAGGTCCTGCGGTCTGAACCGCCTTTTCGTGGAGGGTGGGCGGCCTGGGCGGGGCCCGTGCGGCGGTGGGCGCTGGGGGCAGCTGGTGAATGGCGTCCTGGGGGTCGGTCGTGGCGATCATTGACTCAACTTCGCGATCCTTGGATGGGGGCATCAGCCGCGACGACGGCCCACGGGGCGCTGCGCCCCGCTGCCCTCGCCGTGGCGTTGGGCGAGCGGGTCGATCATTGGCTCAACCCCGCGATCCTCGGAGGGCGGCATCGGCCGCGACGATGGCCCACGGGGCGCTGCGCCCCGCTGCCCTCGCCTTGCCGTTGGGCGAGCGGGCCGGCGGCAGCTCTGGCGGTTGGCGAGGTTGCCCCCGCCGCGGGCCTGTCCTGGCAGGCGCGTTGCACCTCGGCCGCCCTCTTTGAGCATTGTGAGGGCGACGGCCACGTGCGTCTCGGTGGCGCCCCCCTCGGCCGGAGGCGCGGCGCCCGCGGCGAGCGGCGCCGCGGCTCCGCGGCGCTCGCCGTCGTCGGCGGCGGCGTGCGGCCCTCGGCGGCCCTCGGCAGCCTTCGTCGGGCGCCTCGTCGGTGGAAGCCGACGACGCCGACGCCGACGACGCCGACGACGCCGACGACGACGACGAGCCCTGTGTCGATTAAGACAGCTGCGTAGCCATGAACTTTCGGCGGTCCACGCGGATTCCCTGGATCTCATTTGGCCCCCGTGGCGGCGCATCCGGCGCCGCCAAGGGACGACCGTCGGTGAAACAGCTAGGGTGCCCGCCGTCTAACGAGAAGCCCGGGGGCCGGTTGCAAGCGCAGGGTCGCGAGGGACATTGGGGTCGATATTGCGTATATGCAGAAGAGAGCGAGAGAGAGAAGGATAGAGAGAAAAAGAGAGAGAGAGAGAGAGAGAGAGAGGGAGAGAGAGAGAGAGAAAGAGAGAGCGAGAGAGCCAGAGAGAGAGAGAGAGAGATAGAGAGACAGAGCGAGAGAAACAACGAGAGAGATACACGAGAAAAAACAGAGAGAAACATATACAGATGCAGACGATGCAGAGACAGACACAGAGTGAGAGGGAGAGGGAGAGGGAGGGAGGGAGGGAGGGAGGGAGGGAGGGAGGGAGGGAAAGAAAGAGAGAGAGAGAGAGAGAGAAAGGTGCACCCACGCGGCGTGATGGGCCTGGGGCGGGACGGGTGGGCGCAGAGCCACGAGCGGCGGGCCCTCGGACTCCCGCGCCCGGTGCGCACTCCCCGCCACCAGCGCTGGCCTCCTCGCCCTCCGCCTCTGTACAGTCTTCCCCGCTCTCTGCGCCTCCCCCCTCTTCGTCCCTCCCTCCCTCTCCTCCCCCCCGTCCTCTGCTTCCCCTTCTCCCCTCCGTCCCGCCGCCCCCCCTCCCCCACCTCAGTGCCCCCCTTTCCCCCGTTTTCTCCCTCCCCTCCCCTCCTCCCCTCCTCCCTTTCGTCTCTCGCCCTCCTGTCGCTGTCGCCGATGGCAACAGGGTCGAGGGTCGACGCTGCCTCCCGCTCCTCCTCCTCCTCCTTCTCCTCCTTCTCCTCCTCCTCCTCCTCCTCCTCCTCCTGCTCCTGCTCCTCCTCCTGCTCCTCCTCCTCCTCCTTTCCTTCCCCGGCGCGTTCTGCCCAGCGCGTTCTGCCCAGCATTGCTGGCGGCGTCCAGACAGCTGTCCAACGCGAGCCGCCGGGCACTCCCGCCCGACAGTCGAGCTCCACTCCACGGATCTGTGCGGCGCCCGCGTCGGCCTGCGGCCATAGCTCCCGACGCTTGTGAAGCCACGGGCGCTCCTTTCCTTCCCCCTCGTCCCCCCACCCCCTCCCCCTCGCTCCCCTTCTCTCTCCATCGAGCGGGGCTGGGACGAGGATGAAACCGTTCCAGAGCGTTCCGGAACGCCCTCAGAGCGTTCCGGAACGCTCTGAGAAGGCCGCGGCGCCCGAGACATGCTCCAGAGCCGCCGGATCTCAGAGATTCTCGAGTTATCCTCACTCGATTTGATCTTCTTCCTGGCTTCGTCTTACCCCACTCCTCGCGCCCTCCAGGCGGTGGGCTCGGCCGCGCAGTCGCAGGCGCGCCCGCACCGCCGATCCCCCCCAAGCCTGCCGCTCTGTTCCGCTGCCTCGGCTCACGGAGGGCACGAGGCGCATAGAGGCAAGCATCTCTCATTGAAGGCAAACGTGTGCATTGAAGGCAAACCGGGACTCTAATTGAACGGTGTTTCGGCGATTTCGTGGACCGTTCTCGTCTTGATTGCGTTCCGCAGCAGAGGCACAACGAAGACAGAACAAAGGAAAACCGAAAACAAAACGAACACGACAGATTCTGTTTAGCTCGAGTCCTGAGGCAAGCGTCCGAGGCGGGCATATCTCCATACCACCGCCTGGTGCATCGATCTTCGGGGGCCTCGAAAGGCGGTGGATACGGATATACTTGGCCCCCCCAAACTGGCCCGAGCATATCCATATCCACCGCCTGCCGAAGTACCTGAAGATCGATCCCTAGACGGTGGTTGTGCAGAAATCCCCGCCTCGCAAACCATTTCTGGAGGCAAGCCTTCTTGCCTGCAGTGGGTTCCTGCAGGCAAGCATTTTTGAAGGCAGCCGGTTTTTCTGAACGCTTTGTTTTCTGTTTAGTGGGAGCGGGCGTAGCTTTTACGTGTTCAATATTGGTTCTTTTCTCTTCGCAGCTTTCGCGTGCCGCCTTCCTGAGGCATCAGCCTGTTTATTTTCTGTCCCGTCTTGTTTTCTGGGCGGCCCTCGTCGGAACTATTCTTGCCCTACCCTTTAAAGCACTCTGTTTGTTTCCCTCGTAGCTTTTTTTCTTGTTCCTGTTCTGACGCCCCGTTGGGTGGGGGGATCGGGAGGGGCCTTCCAGGGCTCTTTCGGGGGTGGTCCACTTGCTTCTCGTTCCCTTTTTCCCGATCCGTCGCCGGGCAGCATAGACTGCTGGGAGCCGGTGTTGCTGCTCGGAGCTCGCTGCACCAGGTGAAGGTGCACCCCGCGTATACCAAGGTCCCCTTGGGGCAATCAGGAGAGACTGTGCGCCGAGACGACGAAGCATTCGCTGGACGCGATCCAGGGATGTCTGGCAGTGGATCTGTCCTGTCCGGGGGAACCGAAAGGGGTACGGAAGCAATGGGTACAAAGTCTGACAGCAGTTCTTGTTCATTCTGAGCAGGATTCGTTGTCGGCGTCGCCGCGGTCGTTGTCCATTTGAGACACAAGCTCGCCTGCCCAACAGCGGCCGCCGTCGATTTTGGAGAACATTTGTTTTTGGGCATCGTACCCGTGTGAGCGACGCAAAAAACGGGGTCGTCTGCGCCGGCTTTGGCGCGTAAGCTGCCCGCGTAAGGTCGCGCGTAAGCGCCCTCGTCTCCAATGTGGCTTCCCGCGGCGTCGGCCCGCGTAAGCCGCCGCGCAAGGTCGCTGCGTCATCTCGCGCAAGACCCCTTTCTGATCGTCGCTCATGTTTTTCCGTACCCACTTCTGGCGTCCAAAATTGTTGGTTGTGCGTCGGCAGGTCTTCGCACGAGCGAGCTCGAGTCATAATTCAACCACGCAGCTGCAGCACCGCGCGGGCTCGGCCCGCCTGTTGCTCTCACTGGTGGCCAGTGCAGTGTCGCGGGTGGTGGTGGGGGAAGGTGCGTCTCGGATGCAACGTCAGGGGTGGACAGGCTCAGGGAGGGATGCATCCATCCCGAGTCGCTCATCGATCGCCGATAGGAGCCCGATCGCCCAGCCCGCTCAGGAATGTGCGGTTTCGCTATCGGGGGCCTCTCGCCGATCTATCGGAAATGTATCGCCGATTCCGGGTTGATGTTTCCCCCCTCCGAGTTGGCCACTTTCTCACGTTGGCCCTCAGCGTCGACAGGTCTCCTCTCGTGCGATGGCATGGTGCACACCCGGCCTTCTGGGTCATCATGAGCTTACCTGTGTCATGACCTTTCAGCTCGATCGTTTTCCAGCACGCGTACAGACTGCACCAGCGGCGGGGCGATTGAGAGAGAGCCACGGAGAAGCCGGGCGTTACCAAAGGAGTCGCTGGCGCACAGCGTCCCCAAGATGTCCCGGGCGGCCCAGGTGGCCTCCAGAACACCTCCCACGACGCCCAGCGGACCCTGTGGGTCAAGAATGATGTGAAAAGCAAGGACACCTTAGGAACACATTTGAGCAACGCAAACAACAGGAGTTGTCCGCGCCAGCATTGGTGCGTAAGCTGCCCGCGTAAAGTCGTGCGTAAGCGCCCTCGCCTCCAATGCAGCGTGTCGCGGTGTCGGCCCGCGTAAGCCGCCGCGGAAGGTAGCTACGTCATCTCGCGCAAGACCCGCTTTCGATCGTCGCTCATTTGGCAACCCGCGAACACGGGCTCCCTGACACCGGGGAGAAGCGAGCAACGAGAACGGCCAGCGTCTTCTCCGCCCCGCTGCGAGTCCCGGGGCCCTCGCGGATCGACCCGGCTCGACAGATCGGGCGTAGCTCGATGTGGTCGGGAAGTTCGGTCGTTGCTGGTCTACGACGTCGGATCTCCTGATTCCCAGTGTTCTTTACGAGAGCCCACTCGGCGTCTGAGCCCGCCCGGCCGCCGATGCCAAGCAGTGGCGAAGTGCCCTGGTTTGATGGAAGGCCAACCGGGGACTGTTCTCATAACCCCTCTCTGGTTTTCGCGACAGGTTTTTAGAAATGTCGGGCTGATCTACTGTCTTTTGCTAATCTTAGGGATCGAGCCCGTTGGGCGGCCGAGCAGCCCGAGTTCTTCCACTTCGGTGGGGCGGAGCCCGCTCGGCTGCCCACTCGGCGGCCAGAGGGGCCCAGTTGCCGAGCCAGAGGAGACCCCCGCAGAGTTGGGGGCTGCCACGGCTGGCGGCGAAGTCCGAAGCCTGCCCTCGCCGATCAGCGGTTCAGGCAACTCCATGGGCGGCGGGGGTACAGTGGGGGCCCATGCCAAGAAGCACCCTGCTTGCCTCCAGGGTGCCCTGAGTTTCTCGGGTTCCGATGGTTTTGCTATTGAAGGCGTGACGTTCCCACACCAAGAATCAGTGGACGCCCTGGGGTCTTAGGGTTGGGTTTCTTGTGGAAGGTTTCTTGTGGACTGGCCTCCACTGTGGGGCTCGGAATTCGTCGAACACGTGGCGAACGCCGAACCCTACCCCCGCCTCCCATCGATGCAGGAGAATCGATGATTGGTGGGGGTAGGGCTCGGATGTCGCCACCTGCAGAGGTGTCAAGGTGCCCCCGGCCCCAGGTGCCCCCAGCTTGTCGCGCCGTTCGGATGCCCCTGGGCCCTCTCTGGGCCTCGTGAGGGGTGCTCTGGATGCCACCTGGACCTCCCTGGAAATCCTGCGGACGCCCTGGGTCGGGGACACACCTGGCAGCACCTGGCTGAACGAAACGAGCAGAACAAGCTCTCGGCGGAGGTCTGCGTCCGATTCGGTATCCGTTCGATCCGATTCGAGTCAGGCGTTCCGAGGATCCGAGGCGTCCTGATGCTTGCATGGCGCTGTTGTGCAGACTGGCGTGGCCGATCCGATTCGCTTCCAGCTCCTTGCCGCTGCGGCCCGCTCCGAGGCGCCTTCTGGATCGATCCGATTCCCCCGTTTCCGTGGCGCGAAGCGCGCCCGGGGCTTGGCAAGGGCCCCAGGTGCCGAGAATGGTGGCAGGGCAAGGAGGAGGAGGAGGAGGAGGAGGAGGAGGAGGAGGAGGAGGAGGAGGAGGTGGGGAGGAGGAGGAGGAGGAGGAGGAGGAGGAGGAGGAGGAGGAGGAGGAGGAGGAGGATGAGGAGGAGGAGGAGGGCGAGGCCGAGGAGGAGGTGCCGGAGGCGGATAGGGGGCTCTGCCCACGGGGACGCGGTCTTCTCAGAATATCCCCTCTGTGCTGTGAGCTTCGTCATCCGAGAGGCCATGGCACATACATGTTCGTCTACGGTAGGTTCGCGTCGTGTTGACCAGCGGCGACCCCGCCGCCGGCGTTCAATGTTGAACGCCACCTGCGACCCGGAATCGGTCGATGTTGAACGACCTGACGCTTCGGAAGCGACCGATTGTTCAAGGTTGAACGATCCCCGCGGTGTCAGGAATCAACCCCGGGGTCGACACAGCACGAACCCGCGGCAGGTGCTGACGGTGCCGAAAGGTGCGCGGGACGCCCCCCAGCAGCACTCGCGCCGAGGCGCGGCGCCGCACCCCTCTGCCCAGGGCACCGCCGGTGCGGGCGCGCCGAGCGCCGCTCCCGGCCAGAGGGGAGGAGGAGGAGGCGCGAGGAGAAGGAGCGAGGAGGAGCAAGGAGGAGGGCCCTCGAAGGAGGAGGAGGAGGGAGGAGCGAGGAGGAGGAGCGAGGAGCGAGGAGGAGCGAGGAGGAGGAGGGAGGTGCTGACACCAGTGGTGGCAGCTGGCCTTCTCCCGTGCGCTGCGGGTGTGGGAGCGGCGGGGGCGGCGGCGGCGGCGGCGCCGGCGGTGGCCGCGGCGGCGCGCTCAGGCTGGGTCCTCGCCTGCCGTGTCCGCGCGCTCCGCCAGGGGGCCGGAGGACGGGCCCGCCGCTCCCGCGGCTCGAGGAGTCGTCCTCGTCCTCGTCCTCGTCGTCGTCGTCGTCGTCGTCGTCGTCGTCGTCGTCGTCGTCGTCGTCGTCGTCACTCGTGCTCGTCTTCGTCGTCGTCGTCGTCGTCGTCGTCGTCGTCGTCGAGATGGCCGCCCCGCCCGCGGGGTCGGCGCATCCTCGTTGTAATTACCCTCCCCTTGGTGGGACGCTCCAGGGAGGGCCCTTGCCTTCGAGAGTCGAGGGGGGTTGGCATCTTTTCTTCGGCGCCGAAGCCGGCGGAAGTGAGAAGCGGCCCTCCAAGGGATTCGACCAACAAACAACCTCCTCCTTCCTCCCTCCCTTCTCCCCTCCTCCCTCCTCCCTCCTCCCTCCAAGCGGCACCACCCTACACCCCACCTGCGCTACGGCCCATCTGGGGCCGTAGCTTAAACCACGCAAAAGCCCACTGGTCGCCTGCTCCGCTCTCGGTGGTCGCCTGCTCCGCTGCTCTACGCGCGGAGACGGCACAAGAGGCGCCCAACAGGGCTCCAAGACACCCCACGCGGGCGCCAAGACTGTCCACGAGGCGCCCAGAATCGACCAAGCGGGCTCCAGGTGGCTTCCCAACCGAGCTTGGACACGCCACAGGGTCTTACAGGAGGCTCACAGGGCCCCAAAACGGCCGCAGCACGCCCACCATCGCTCCGATGCGGCCCACGAGGCATCCAAGACGGCCCAAGAGGGCTCTAAGCTGCTTTCCGAAACAGCCCCAATAGGTAAACATCACTGATGTTCCATAGTTGTTCATTGATTTTCGCGTGGTCGCCTGCTCAGCTTCCTGAAGTTCGGAGACGGCACACGAGGCGGACACGAGGGCCCCAACGTGCCCCAAGGCTGCGCCAAATCGACCCAAGAGGCGCCCATGATGGCCTAAGAGGGCTCGAGGCGGCTCACCAAGTCAGCCTGGATACGCCAAGAGGGCTGTAAAGATGGGCCGCAGCGTAAACGGCCCTAGCACGCCCACCAAAGCTTCCATGCTGCCCACGAGGCATTCAAGACGCCCCAAGGAGGCTCCAACTGCCATCCGAGAGAGCCGCAAGGAACAAAAAACATGATTTTTCTGTTGTTTCTAATGCGTTGTATTTGGTCGTCTGCTCCGCTTCCTGACGCGCGGGGACGGCCCACAAGGCATTCACGAGAGAGCCCCCGCACACCGCAAGAATGCTTACTTTGAGCCTCGACACTCCAGAGGGGTTTCACACGCGGCCGAGGAGCCCTAAAAGGATCCAAGAGGCTTCCCAAATGAGCCTCGACACCTCGACAAGGCCCTACAGAGGCTTCCACGATGGCCCCCACACTGCCGCAACCATCAGGTTCTGGAGAGCCTTCTGGGAACGTAATTCTCGTCGCCCCTCATCGGAGCAGAAGGTTCTCCAGTATTTCAAATGAGCCCCGACACACCGAAAGGGGCTCACAGATGCCTCCACGAGGGCTCCCACACGGGCGCGCTTTCAGGTTCCTGGAGAGCCTTCCGGGAACCTGGTTGTCGTCGCCCGTCATCGGAGCAGGAATTTCCCCAGAATTTCCTTCTGTTGCCCTGAAGAGAGCCCTCCAATAAAATGACCTTGGCAGCCAGTCCGAGGAAGACACGGCGAGGAGGATGATACCTGGCAAGTCTCATTTTCTGGTATCCAGGGTCTTCTCTTTGGGCATCCCGGGTTTCATTTCATTTCGCAGCGATTCCAGAGTCAATTCGGACCTAAGCTCGCGCGTAGCGCGCGAGTGGTTCTATTTTATGTTGATGTAGTTTTTTGTTGTTTGTTTTTCTTGTTTATTGTTTGTTTAGGTTATTTGTTGTTTTTTTTGGAGGGGTGTGTTTCTTCCCTTAGTTTTTCTTCATGTATAACCAGGACGTGCATTGGCAAGTCGGGGAAACGAGCGACACCCTGTCTTGCAAATTCACACTTGGTCGTCCAGTCTATGTTTTTCGGTTGCTGCGCTGCAGGATTCGGGCCTTTGTCCAGGCCTAGGAGGGGTGCAGGTTTTCAGGGCTTTTGTTTGGTTTTATTCCGGGCGTATTCCTCACCAGTTCTCGGGGCCGTCAAATAACGGCTCGGGATGAAAAACTGGTCGAGGAGTCGGGGGCCCGTATCTTGAGAAAGTCGAGACGCCGGAGGTCCGGGTTCTCAGCAGGGCTCCGGAGGCTTCCGAGAGGGCCTCTTGGAACCTGGGATGTCTTCCACGATCGGCCTTCTGCCCTCCCCCGAGATCCAACGCCGCCGTGAACCGTGAAAAGTTGCAGCGCCGTGGCAAATCACAAGTGCAACCCCAGACCCCGCCTTTCTGCACCTCTCGAGCCAGATCGACCTGAGAGGGCGCCGGGGCCCGAGACAAGACGAAACCGCTCGGTGTGGAAAACTTGCGACGCCAGGATCTCGGGCTCTGAGAAGCCCCCCCTCCCCCCAGGCTTCTCAGAACCCAGACCCCGACGTCATGATTCTTTCACGACGTCGACCCCCAGAGGTCTGGACCCCTTCCCCAGGACCGGCTTTCCCCCCTCCCCCCCCGAGCCGTTTTGTTGACGCTCCTGGGGCCTGTTGAAGGCCCCATGGAGGCCGAACACCACAACATATTTTCTGCCGTGATTTGTGTCGCGACGCGAGGGGGTCTGGGGAGGCCCTCCCCCCCTCGGGCTTCTCAGAAGGCTGCCTGCCTGCCTCCGGCAACACCCAAGCATGCTTCTACTGCGGGTGCGTGGGCCCCCCATGGGAGACGCGCGTGCTCAGAACTCTTCTGGCTTCCGGTGTATGCTCCGTGGCGGGCGCTTGCTGGCTACGGTAGGTTCCTGCCGTGTCGGCGCGGCGGCGACTCAGTTGAACGCGGCGGCGGTGTCATGGACCAGCGCCGAGGTCGTCACGACACGAACCTGCCGTATACCGCCTGGGCAACGATGCGCTACAAGATGTGGGTGCTGGATGTTAGGTTCGGACCTGCGCCTTCAAGGGGGGGGGGCGCACGGTACTAGTACATCCCTCTGCCTCAGCGGGCCCCCCGAGTAGTCCGGGGCGGTCTCAACGCCCTGGCGCCGCCTTCGGCGGCTCCCCTGGGGCGCTCCGCGCCCCAGGGTTGAGGTTTTGAGGCCGCCCCAGACTTTTCGGGGGGCCTGTCGAGGACAGCTGAGACTACACGGGGGGCCTTTCGAGGCCAGCCAGGTTTGCCTGGGGAGTCACTTAGGGGGGGCTGTCTGTGCGCAGCCCGAAGCCGTACCCTGAGATCCGACGTTGCGAACAAAAGTCAGCATCACGAAAAGTCGCAGCAGGAACACTAGACCCAATGTTTCTGCGGCATGTTTCGAGCTGGATCGATCTATGATGGTCTCGAGGCCCGAAGCTTGGCAGAAACGCCCGGTGTGAAATTAAGCAACGCCTAGACTTCGGGGCACCACTGCGTCCCACGCTTGCCTGCTGCCCGCCGCTCAGGACCGGCTGCCTCCCCCGCCGCGCGCCAGACGACCAGGCGCGAGCGGGCGCCCCCTCTCAGTATCGTTTAACCGACTCCTGTCCCCATCCCCATCCCCACCCAGCCCCCCATCGTCCCACGTTTCAGGTGGGGATCTACCCCTCGTAACCCGAAGGAAACGGCCTACATCCCCATCTAGGGGGAGAAGTCGGCCAGTGGGGCCCAGCCACGCCTTGGAGACTGCGACCCCCGACGTCGTGTTTTTTGCGCAGCGTCGACCCCCAGGGGTCTGGACCCCTTCCCCATGACCGGTCTTTCATCCAGACTCGTTTTTTCATGGCCCCGAGGCCCGGCAAGGGCCCCTGGAGGCCGAAAGTGGCGAAAAACCTCCCGTCGTGATTCTCGTCGCCACGCGAGGGGGTCTGGGGATGGGGGTCGGCTCATCGATGCTCACCCTCTCCGCCGCGCGCGCGCGCGGAGCGCAGGCGAGGCCCCCGGCCTGCGGAGAGCCCCCCGGCGCCCTTGGACCGTGCCCGCTGCCAGGGCGCACGCGGCGGGGACGGCCCCGAGAGGCGCCCCGAGAGGCGCCCCCGAGAGGCGCCCCGGGAGGCGCCCGGGAGGCGCCCCGGGAGGCGCCCTCAAAGAGGCGCCCAAGAGGCCCGCAAGAGGCTCCCGAGAGGCTCCCAAGAGGCTCCCCCGAGGCACCCAGGACGCTTCAAGAGGCCCCCGGGGCCGCCAAGAGGCCCCCAGGACGCCCCAACAGGCCTACAAGAAGCTTTCGAGAGACATGCGAGACGAATCCAAGAGGCCTCTGGCCTTCGTTCGCCCTCCACCTCCTCCTCCTCCTCCTCCTCCTCCTCCTCCTCCCCCTCCTCCTCCTCCTCCTCCTCCTCCTCCTCCTCGTCTTCCTTATCCGCCTGATCCTCCTCCCTCCTCGTCCCAGCGGGGAAACGCGAGACCCAGACATTTGGCGCCTCGACAGGATCGAGGCAGAGGTTTTTCATAGTTTTCGGCCTCCCGGGGCCCTCACTGGGCCTCGGGACCGTCAAAAACGACTCGGGATGAAAAGCCGGTCCGGGGGAGGTGGTCGGGGGTCGGGGGCCCATGTCCTGAACAAAAAACGAGACGCCGGATGTCTGGGGACCCTGAGATCTGGGAGCTGCCGTTTCTTCTCTACGGGGGTTTTCGCTGGGTCTCGGGCTTTGGGGTCCTCACAGATCGAGCAGGCTCGAAGCCAGCCGCAGAAAGATGGGGTCTGCGGCTCCTGTCGTGATTTTTTGCAGTGTGTTTTTCCTGCCACGTCAGATCTGAGGGGGCTCGAGTTCGCCAGACCTCGGGTCAGATCTGAGGGATTCGAGTTCGTCCGAACTTGGGTTTGCCGACGCTTTTTGATGGGCCATGTCTTGGATTTTGTCGGCCCAGTTTGCACCGGGAGCTCGCATCAGATTTCAGACCGAGTCTCGCCATTGTCCTGACGGCCCCCGCAGGCCACTGCGAGTCCCCCGAATCCAAGTCTTGCATTCCCCGGTCCAATCCAGATCCCCATCGTTTCGCGACAAAAATCACGACACCCTCGCCTGGCCCCAGGAGAGTCCAAAGCTGCTTGGGGGGAGAAGCCGGTCCTTGGAACGGGGTCCAGACTTCTTGGGGTCGACGTCGTGAAAGAAACATGGCGTCGGGGGTCTTGGTATCGGTATTTTCTGGTTTCCCCAATATCATGGCCAGGGCCATGAGATCTTCCAGATATCATGGTCCATTCTTCTTCTTCTTCTTCTTCGTCTTCTTCTTCTTCTTCTCTCAATGGGTGCCTTGGTCACCCCCCGCTCGTCCGCGCACAAGCTCCCTCCGCTGCGCGCCCGATCGGCGGGGTCAGCCCGTTCTCTAGGGGCCCCCTCTGGCTCCCCCTTCTGGCTGGCGGCACGCGCGCGGGGGTGGCGCGAGGGGGGCAAGAACCCGGCAAACATCATGACTCAGAGCGTGAATTACCTACCCCGCTTTCGCTACCAGGAGGAACCAAGTCATACCACGCGCCTCCTCGTCAAGCGGCCTGATTAGTACAGGCCGTAGTTTGGCATCGCTTGGTATCTGTTGGAAGCGAGGGTGGTCAAAAGCGAGGTAGGTTTGTTTGCCCCCTGACGACCAGAGCCCGTGGGCCGCATCTTCCAAAGGCTTTTTGTTGCGCCTGATCGTCCTGTGATGGCCCTGGGGCCCGAAGCCGGGCGACACCGCCCTTTGTTGTGACAGACCGGAGACTCCTCAGACTAAGCCACCCCTTGGACATCTCCGGGAAGGCACCCCTGCCTTCTGGGGACTTTTTTTACCCCCCCCCTGGCGAAAAGCGGGCTTGACCGGGAGAGGGGCGGGGGAGGGGTTGAGAAGGCCGGTCACGTCACGATCCGCGCGGGCGCCGTCCGGGAATGCTTATAAGAGTGGCTGATTCCAAGACGGCGCTGGCGCGAATCGTGACGTGACGAGCGGGGGGGAGGATGGAGGGGGTGGCGGGGCCGGTATCGCGCGTTGTCGCGAATAACATCAGAAAGCGCCCTTCCAGGAAGGCGGGTCTCCCTTGTGAGCCCCCCGCCGCCCCCGCCTTCTCAGGCGTCCGGGCGACGCGCGCGCTCAGAAGTCTTCTAGTACATGCTCCTTGGCGGGCGCATTCTGGCCATGTGTAACGACATTCTACAGGATGTGTGTGCTCTAAGGTCGGTTTGGGCGGTTGCCTCCAAGGGGGGCGTATAGTATTAGCATGACCTTCTGCGTCCCATGAAAAGCTCCCGCCTTCTCAGGCGCCCCCCGTTTGGCCCAGGACTGGGGCCTGCCTATGTGGAAATGCGGGGTTCCTTCAGAGGGGCGGTTGGAGCACGCGCGAGGCACTCCTGAAGGCAGTGTGCACCAAACCAGTGCAGGAAACCTCCGTCTGCAGCGAGCGAGGGGGGGGAATTGAGAAGGAGCCCTCTCAGAAGGCAGTGGGACTTCTCAGAAGCCGTCGCGCCTTCTGAGAAGTTTGCTGTGTCTTCGGGGATGGCTTAACAAACTTCTCAGAAGGCCAGGGGTCTTCCGAGCCTTCTGAGAAGGCCTTGCAGAGTGGGCACTCCAACGCCAGCGGTCGTTGCAAAGGAAATGAGCAACAGAGTGTAGAGATGCTTCGCGAGCATCGAGGTTGGAACCAAAGATGTCAAAGACCAAAGGTGTCTATCTTTGGGCAAGATGGGTGCCCCCGAAGGCACCCTGCACTTTTTTGTGCGTCGCAGCGCGGCAGGGGCGATCCGCACGCGCGTTGGGGCGAGGTCGGGGCACGGAAGCGCGAGCTGGCCCGCGTGCAGGAGGAAGGGGAGAGGCGAGGGATCTGGACGCCCGAGATGGGCACGGAAAGAATGGGTACGATGCCCAACAGCAGTTCCTGTTCATTCTGAACAGGATTCGCTGTCCGCGCCGCCGCGGCCTGTGTTCATTTGAGGCAGAAGGCCGCCTGCACAACAGCGGCCGCTGTTGGTTCGGGACAACATTTGTTGTTGGGCATGTTGCCCATTCTTTCGGTGCCCATTTCGGGTGTCCAAAAGGGAGGCGGCCGCGGGGAGGGGGAGCCAGACGCGAGGGCACTCGCACGGAGCGGGGCTGCGGCGAGCGCGCGAGGGGCGGCCGTGCGGAAGGGCGGCCCCCGGCACTCCTGCACGGGCCGTGGCAGGAAACCTCCAGGGAGCCTCCAGGAGACCTGAACGTTGGAGCCTGTCTCGAACTCCTGCTTTCCTTGGTTTCCGAGCTCGAGCTTCCAGCTTTCCCCCCGCCCGAGCCCAAGCAATAGTTTGTTTGTCCCAAGGAAGGCCCATCCCCCCTTCATCAGCCAATTACAGACCTGCAGCAGGTGACGGTTCTCCCCCCCCCCTCCCTTTTCGCGCCGCGCTCTCGCGCGCGCCCTTCGCCGACCTCTGCCCCTCGCACGAGCGGGGGCGCACGCGGCCGGGCTCAGGTCTCGGCGGGGTCGGCCAGGTCCCCCGCCTCCTCGGTGGCAGCCTGGGAGCCTCGACCCCTCGAGCGCGAAACAAACCACGGCAGGTGATGGTTTTCTTCTTTGAGGCATCCCATCTTCTTTGAGGCATCCCAGAAAGGGCCTTGCCTTCGAGGATCGAAGGAGTTGCCATCTCTTCCTCGGCGGAAGGCGGCGGAAGGGCGGCGGAACGCTGGCGGAAGTACAACGAGGCCGCCTCCGTCGACAGAATCTCGGCGGAAGCTCGGCGGAAGGCGACGGAAGTAAAACATGCGCCCCCAAGAGATGAAGACATTTTTAGGTTCAGGGTTTCCGAAATCGGCCATTTATTGTTTTGCCGATCGGCGCGGGCCCTCGCACCCCTCCCCTCCCATGGAGTAGATCTTGGCTGTTTTTGGCGCCTGTCTCAAGCAGGTGTAGTCTCCCGTACAGGACGCGCTGTTGCAAGCAGTCGCATCAAGCAGAGGGCCGAAGCCAGACCCCCCCCTCCCCTCCCCCTTTCGCTCAATGTCGAAACGCCGAATAAGACAACGTTCGCAAGGCGGGCCCAAGAAGCGTCCAAGAGGCCTACAGGAAGCCCCCCGAGGCCCCCAAGAGGACCCCACGACGGCCCAAGAGGGCCCCTGGATAGTTGAACCAAGCTTGATATGCCAAGCTATGACGAACGCATCAGGAGCTCAATATTTCCCGAAGAGAAGTATTGGGCGCGTTTGACTCTTGCTAATCGGGGCGGATCCGTAGCTTGTTCGGCTCGAGGTCAGTTGTCGTTCGGCTCGAGGCCAGCTGTCGAAAAGGTAAAAACAAACAAGACTTTCGGAGGTCCGCGCGGATTTCTTGGATCGGCGCTGGATCCCCCTGGCGGCGCCTCCAGCCCCGCCTAGCGCGCTCCGAGCGCTGGGGGAGGGGTGGCCAGCGCCGACCTAAGAAATCCGCGCGGGCCTACGGCAGTTTTTCGATTGTGCAGCTTTTTCCTTCTCTTGATCCCCGCCCCCTGGGGGCCGCGTGCACGCGGGCGGTGACGGGATGGGGGTGCTGTTCAGCGTGTGCAGCCTGTGCGGCAGCCCCGAAAGCGAGGACGGGCTCGCCACCAGCGACGGGCAGGTGCGCGCCCTGATCGTCGCGCTGGAGTACAAGTACAGCCCCAGCCACGAGCTGAGCTGCAGCAAGGACGCCCAGGCCATGCTCCGGATGCTCAACCGCGCGGGCGTGCGGGACATCACGCTCGTGACCGACCGGCACAGGTGGAAGAGGAAAGATCGGTAGAGGCATGATGTGTCGGAGGCCCGCGCGGCTTTCTCTCGGATCGGCGCTGGCCCCCCCCCTGGGGGCGCTTCCGGCGCCGCCCCCGGCGCGCAGCGCGAATCAGGGAGGCGTGTCGGGCGCCGGCCCCAGAAGTCCGTGCGGACCTCTGAGGGCTCATGTTTGTGCCCTTTTTTGTTTTTCTGGCATGGGCACTCCTGGATTTCCCACGCGCCCGTCGGTGCTTCAGGCCATGAAGGAGGTGGCCAGACGCACAGAGCCAGATGACTGGTTTTTCTGGTTCTTTGCTGGCCACGGTATCAACGTGCCAGATCATAGGGGCGACGAGGCAGACGGCTTCGACCAGGCCTTCGTCACGCCAGACCACAAGGGTCGGCTTCACGAGAAGGCACTGCTGGTCGACGACGATTTCGCGAGAGCGCTTGACACTTTTTTTGTACCTGGGGTCAAGCTCTTATGTGTTTGCGACTGCTGTCACTCTGGAACTATCTGCGACATCGACTCATACCATTATGACCACGAGATCTATTCGATCTCGGCTGCTCAGGCTTCACTTCTACCTGCTCCCATCCATGGGGGAGGGGAAGGCGGGAGGGGATGGATTACACCGAGCGATATGGAAGCGAGGAGGGTCGGGAAGGGAGGAGGAGAGCTGGGGCCACCATAATATCTGCCTACTCTTGCTGGTACCCCAGGACGACCAGGAGGCCGAGGACACTGGTCGAGGCGGACTTCTCACGTACGCTCTGCGACGGACAATCTTTTCGCTCAGCATGAGCTATCAAGAGAATCCCTTTAGCATCCAGACAGTGTGGGAACGCACCAAGAAGAAGGCCGACTCCATGACACAGATGCAGGAGCTGAACTTCCAATTCAGCGGTACGGATCCCCACCATGTCGCGTGGCCGATGTGCTTCGATTGGAAGAAGTATCTGCACATGGCCAAGGACAACATGGACGAGTACGAAGACTATGAGAAAGCCTAGTGCGGCCGACGGCTCGCGCGGACTGCGCGCCTGCTGTGCCCCTCTGCATGTCGCAACAGGACAGAGGAGTCTGCGGCGGAGCGCCGGAGGAGGAGGAGGAGGAGGAGGAGGAGGACGAGGAGGAGGAGGAGGAGGAGGAGGAGGAGAGACAGGGGGGGACAGGCTCCGGCAGGGTTCGATATCCGATAGCCCACTGCGCCTAGGCTCGGGCCGATTCGGCATCGGGGGCCCATCGCCGATCTATCGGCGATGCATCACCGATTCCAGCTCGATGCTCCTTCCCTGAGCCAGTGCCCCTGGTCGTTTTCGGGCCCTAGCTCGGGCCTCCGGCGGCCGTTTCTGGACGATCCAGGATCTCCTTGAACGCTTTCGGCGAGGCGCAGCCGCTGGAGAGCACCCCGAGGCTGGAAAGCCGCCGAGATCCGACGACAACGCTCGAAAACCTCAAGCCTCAAGCCTCAGACCTCGAGCCTCGAGCCTCGAGCCCGTCGTCCCCCCCTCACTTTGCCCCTCGGCACACGGCCCGCTCTTCTTCCACGGCCAGGGCCCTCCAGGCTCTCCCGCCCCCCCCCCCCCACGGTCTCCATGGCCAGCCTCTTGCCGCGGGTCGCCCCGCTGCGGGTCCTGGGGCCCGAGAGCCAGGGGCCGCCACGAAGGCGCCGAGGGTTCTTCGCGGCTCGCGAGCCGCGACTCCTCCTGCTCCTGCTCCTGCTCCTGCTCCTGCTCCTCCTCCTCCTCCTCCTCCTCCTCGCAGGTCGTGGGCGAAAAACGTATCCGTATCCGCAGGCTCGCGGGCCGGTTCCCTGGGCCGCGACACCGCGGGTATGGAGCGTTTTGTTCGCGGATGCTCCGCGCGGAACGTATCCGTGCGGCCGCGTATCTGCGGGATCGCTCCCTGGAGTCTAGACCGCGATGGCGCGGATAGTTTCGGATGTGTTCACCGCTCGTGAGCAGGGGCAACGTGAAGGGGGGATAAGCTGTGGGGGGGATGCATCGCCCCCCAGTCGCCCATTGACTGCCGATATTGGTCTTGTGGCCCACCCCGCTCAGGACCTTGCGGTCTTGTTTTCGGGAGTCTATCGCTGATCTATTGGCGATGCATCGCCGATTCGAGGTCGATGTTTCGCCCTCTGAGCTGGTCCTTCCCCCGGGTCGCTGCCCCTCATCATCTTCGTTCTCCCCTCTTCCCATGGGGGGGGCGGCGCGAGAGCGCGAAGTGATTGGCGCTTCGCGCAGCGCGCAGCGCGCAAATAGCTGCACCTTGGAGAACGGGCTTTGGAGGTTGGTGGAATCCCCACCCTGCCAGGTTGACCAGCACACTGCCCCTTCTCGATTCTCCGGAGGGCGTACTGGTCGCAGTTTTTGCTGGGTTGCCCCCGCCGGGCCCGGACCCGCGATGTTCGGGCCGAGCCTGGGACCCGTGCCCGTTGTGATATTCGTCGGCGGCTCTGGAGGCCTGGGCTCCGGGACGCTCCAGAGCCGACTCTCCATGACCCCTCCCGGGGTGGGCTCCGGCGAGTTCCGCCTTGGCCACGAGGGCGTGGCACCCGAGAAGCCGCGGGTCCGCGGCCTGCCCCCCGCCGTTCGATCACGAGAAGATCGGCACCGCCCCGCACACGGCCCGCTGGGTCGCAGGCGGGTGGTGGGCGGGGCGGTGTCGTGGGTGGGCCAGCGCCTAAACTCTCCAGAACAAGGGAGCCCCTAGCCCTGATGACACGATGCCGAGGTGGTATCACCAAGGTCCCTGCGATCCCCGACCCTGAAGTCGGAGGAAGGGGTACCCGTACTGCTACCCTTGCCTCGCTTTCCTCTTTTTGGGCCTTCTGGGAGGCCCTCGTCGCCACCGCTGGATTCGCCACGAATTTTTTGTCAGAGCGCACCCCAGGAGAGGTCCGGGGAGTAGCGGTATAGTTAGTAGAACCCGATAGAGCCATGAACCCCGACTCTAAAGTGCACTCATAGTAGGTTCAAGGAGCAGATCTGCAGACCCTGCCGTCTCGCGGGATTATTTGTGCGCGGCCACATGTTGCCAACGAGCCCTTCTTTGCCGTGCGTTCCAGAAGCCTGACAGTAGATCACGTGCGGTGCTACTTTTCTTCTTGGACGCGCCTTGGGACCCTTTCTGGGAGCGTTATCGGGCTCTTCTTAAAGGGTGCTTGGTGTCTTGAGGCTCTCTGTGGGTATCTCGGGGTCTCCAGGGTCATCGTAGGTACGTTGGACCCTCTTGAAAGTATGCTCTGAATATCTGCTGGCGGCCTACTGGGGCTTCTTGGGGCTTTCTTGGAGCCTTCGTGGTGTCTTTTTTGGAGGCTCTCGCCCTCTCCGGGGGCCTTCTTGGGCTTTCGTCCCGATCAGGCATGAGGCATGATTTGCGAAAGCGGAAGAAGGACCGCGGAGGATGGAAGCATGGGCGCCTACGTTGGTTTCGGTTCTGTCCGTTTCAAGATTGCGGCCTTGGCTTTCAGAAGAGGTTCAGGAAGGTGACAGCAGAGGAAGGAGCGAGTCAATCAGGGAGAAGGTGCAACAGACATGGACGAGGGGGGGAAGGGGAGTGAGGAGAAGGAGTCTTGGGACGGTGGCAGCGAGAGAGAGACGAGCACGGCAAGGCCTGGCTCTGAGGGTTGGGGGCCCAAGGACGGGACGGGGGAGGGCTTCCAGGCCGACCCTGCGCTGCTCGAGGCCTCCCCGCCCGCGGGCCCGGAGCGTCCCGGCGCCCCACCTCGGGAGCCCCCCCCCCCCCCGGAGGCCTCGGCGCGCCGCCACGCGAGCGGCAGGAGAGAGCGGGGCCGACCGCGCCGACGTTCGCGCGTGAGCTCGCCGCGGAAGGCCGCGCGCCGCAGGCGCTCTCTTCTCCACGCGGTGCGCCACGCTGGCCGCCCGCGTCAGGCCGCGGCGACAGCTCGCCGCGTCAGGCGGTGCTCGCACGGCGCGCAGTCGTCTCGCCGGACGCCTGGGGGCCACGACCTGACGCCAGCAACGGGCGACCGACGACGGCGGCGACGACGCCCGAAGGCACCCTGTGGTATGATTCCTTCGGTGCGCGGCCCCAGAGCCCCCGACCCCTTCCCCGGGGCCTGCTCTTCGCCACGGATCCGCTTTGGATGGCCCCGGGGCCCGAGCACGGGCCCGAGGGACCGAAGTCGAGGGAAAGCACGCCGGGATTTTTCAGATGAGATCGGCTGAGATCCGGGTCCGTCGGCGACGACGACGACGCCGACGACGCCGCCGCCGACGACGACGACGGCGGCGACGGCGACGACGACCGCAGCCGCTCCCGAGGCCATGGCGCGCCGTCGTTTCACCGGATGCCTGGGGACCACGACCCGGAGCCGCAGGCCGCGCGTCCATCCAGGGTCTGGTGCGGGCGCGCGGCGCGCGCGCGATCCACGAACCCGTCGCGCTCGAGCTCGGGGATCGAGGGGGAGGCCTGGGAGGGGGGGAGGAGGTTTCTGGTCGTTGTTTTGGCCTCCGTGTGTCTGTCGAAGGCCTCCGGAGGCCATCCGAGAGGTCTCCGTGGGCCTCCACGGGGTCTGCCTCCTGAGGTCGTCTCTGGGGACGTCCGCGGAGGCCTCCAGAGACCCTCGGAGACCCTCAGGCCAGTCTCCTGGTACTTTCACGAGTTTTCCTTCGGCTCTTGGATATCTTCTCGCCTTGGGACGCTCTCCAGCAGCCGCGCCGAGAGCGTGCCGAGGTTGGGCCCGAGCCGTCCCGAAGGGCCGCCCGAGGCCTGTGTTGCGGCTTGAATGCGCTGGGCCTCTTGGCGTCGTGAATGAGTCAAGACGAGCGCTTTGGCCCCGTCTCGGCTGCCTGGGGGCGACCTTCTCGGATCGGCTCGGCTCGAGCAGCGGGTCAGAGGGACTCGGCTATATGTAAGAGTGTGATATTCTCATAGCGCCAACATCGCGGAGAGGATTCGTTCGGAAAATAATGGGATGACCTGCCGCAATGACCTGTCGCAAGGGTGGCCTTTGGTAGTAGTAGTAGTAGTAGTAGTAGTAGTAGTAGTAGTAGTCGTAGTCGTAGTCGTAGTCGTAGTCGTAGTCGTAGTCGTAGTCGTAGTCGTAGTCGTAGTCGTAGTCGTAGTCGTAGTCGTAGTCGTAGTCGTAGTCGTAGTCGTAGTCGTAGTCGTAGTCGTAGTCGTAGTCGTAGTCGTAGTCGTAGTCGTAGTCGTAGTCGTAGTCGTAGTCGTAGTCGTAGTCGTAGTCGTAGTCGTAGTCGTAGTCGTAGTCGTAGTCGTAGTAGTAGTAGTAGTAGTAGTAGTAGTAGTAG